GTGCCTAGAGAAAAAGAGAGCCAGAGAGCCGTTTCCCTGGAAGAGGTGGTGGTGGCGGCAGCTGCTGTTGGCAGCTTGGAGGCGCTCTTCAAGGATGGGCCGGGAGTGAGCTTTGCTCTCAGGCATTGCGCAGCAGTGGCTCGGGTGCTCAGGGAAAAGGGCCAGCAGTGCACCTCGCTCGCCAGCTTTCACCCAAGACAGCACCTCTTGCACTCTGGCTGGCAGGCTGCATTTCCGGATGGAGGGTGCAAGAGGCGCTGTCTTGGGAGAGAGCCGGCGAGCGAGGCAAGGGTTTTTTTTTTTTACTCTTGGCAGCAGAGGACGTGGGGGCACTTCAGGGAGGGCAGGCAAGGTGGGGGCCACAAACGATCATCCCGCGGGCCGCAAATGGCCCATGGGTCGCGTGTTTAAGACCCCTGCCTTAACCTTTAAAAGTTCTACATATGTATTTTCTAAGACAGGAGAAGGAATTATGCTGTGAAGAATAATAGCTTATTTTTCTCTCAGTAAAAATTTCAGGTGTTCTTTCTTCTTATAAGATTTGTAGCCCATCATGTTGTATACAGATAGGATTCCGCGGGCCGCAAATGGCCCATGGGTCGCGTGTTTAAGACCCCTGCCTTAACCTTTAAAAGTTCTACATATGTATTTTCTAAGACAGGAGAAGGAATTATGCTGTGAAGAATAATAGCTTATTTTTCTCTCAGTAAAAATTTCAGGTGTTCTTTCTTCTTATAAGATTTGTAGCCCATCATGTTGTATACAGATAGGATTAATACTCTTTACAATTTCTTCTGCACTACATGCCTTTAGGAAGTGGTAGGTTTCAGAACAAAAATGAGGCCTCTGTAGCTTCCAGGATGTTACTGCACTGCAGTTCACATCATCCTTGACCACTGATATTCTAGCTGAGGCTGATGGGTCCTAGAGCCCAGCAACATTTGGAGTACCACAAAAGGTTATCTATCTACAACTCAGTCTTAGTTTTCCTCCCCAATATCCAAATTTTAATGAGAATATCCACTTGCATGTGGATATATAGATGTGTGACATAAATGGATCAAGAAGCTCCATGGATTGATCAAGTAGTTTTATAGCACATTGTAGCACTTTTCTGCCTTTGCTACAATTCCTGTCCAGAAATCCAAAAGCACTGAAGAGATACAGTACAGTATATGCATTCAGCAGTTGTTATATCTAGTTCAAATAACTGCACAGGCTTCCAGTTCCATTCCGTTCTCCATGTAGAATCCATTCTAGTGCTGCCTCAGTCAGCAATTAGAGGACGCAGTATTATTTCTCAGACTTTTCCAGGCTGCCACAGTCTGTGTCCTGGTGGCACATTGAGTTATTAAAAATACACATGCAACTGATGTGAGAGAAGGTGGCAGAAAAGTAACCACCACCAAAGTGTTGGCCAAAGTTATAACATGTCTAACAGAAAGGTAGCAACAAACTGTGGCACCTTTAAGATTAACAGATTAATTTCAGTATGGTGTTTCAGATTGCAGTCTTTCTGATCCATGAAAGCTCATGTTGAAATATTTCTGTTAGTCTTAAAGATGCCACAATACTTCTGCTTTTCCTTCTTTTGATTTAATACTGCTCCCATTTTGAACATTATAGCAGGTACACAGCAGTGACAACAGAAGGCCAAAGAGTGTATTTACTATAAAAACATGGACCTTTTCAGAATGCAGAAACCAATACTTTTGTGGCTGACATACATTGTTGCCATCAAAGAAAATGCATCCCTCCTGCTCCAGGCCCTCTTTTAGAACTTGATATGCAAAGATGTTCTCAAAAAGACCTTTGCTTTATTCCTGCATATAATGTTGTGCAAAAATGGCTTCACTGGAGGCAACACATTATTCAGGATAGAACTATGTAATATGAATGTCACTGGTTATGATCAATGCTTAGAGACTATGCTATATGGATACTATACTAATGCCAAACAACACTGCATCCATATGTACCTTGCATGGAGTTTTGAGCAAGAGATTAGCATGTCCATGTACAGTATCAAGATCAGGTTGATGGCAGAGACAAATAGAGATGTTTTATAGCATTTTGCAGCCAGGCCGCAGAAAGATTTATCTGCCGAAACCAGCATTCTACGTGCTGATACAACGATTTGAGAATTAGAATGCAAGTATTAATCGGTCTTGGAAAAGCACATGTGTTACATGGTTGGATAATAAGATATAACATGTTGATTATTCTATCATTGGTATTTAAAAAGTAGCAGACATTTCTGGGCCAGTTCATATACCCTTACACTTCCTTCCACCTTGCGCATGTGATAGCCTGCTGAAAAGAGGCTTTAATTTTATTTGTATAGCAACAGATCAACAAAATTATTTTTTTCTAGGTGACACATAAGATTCCTATAAAATACAATCCTTTAGATAAATAAGGAAAATGTAAATGATAAAACACACTTAAAAGTAAAAGAAGATAGCACCCAAACAAATAATACCTAAAAAATCAGCAAGCAAATAAAACAAATCTAAGTTGTGAAGCCTGGACAAATGGAACTATTTTTTATCTAGCAAGTACTGGAGAGCATCCTATATACATCAGACAACCCTGGGAAATGGGCTTAAAAGTGTGGCATCATTATGGAGTAATGTTTTGTGCACATAGCCATGTGCACCTACTGTACAATATTTTTCATTAAAAGGACAGTTTGCATATGTGTGCATGTGCTCCAGATTACCTACATCAAACCCCTAAATCACATCAGAGTGAACATGTGAACAAGAAAGAGTGAGAAAGTGGAAATGACATAAACATATTTCATCACTGCTCACAAAAGGATCAATAAGCTAAGCAAATGTATGAACTGGCCAGTAGTAGTCACTGCCTCTCAGAATGGCCACTGCCTCTCAGAATGACAAATATATGCAGCAGCTAAAGTGCTGATGCCTTTTTTTCCTGCTCGACCAAAATCTGCAAAAAACTGAAGGAAGAGAAGTTAGAGGCTTGAGAAGACCGATGCCGGCAGGCAATAAATGTGAAAAAAGTGGAGTCTCCTCACAAAGCTAGATACCAGCTCCACCCTCACATTGCTTTGTCACCTGCTATCAGTTTGACAAGGTGTAATACTGGGATCCAGTCTTACCACTGGGATCCAGTGGTGCCTCGACTTACAAACGCCCCTACAAAAATTTTGAGTTATGAAAAGCTCCGGATGCAAAATTTTGCTTCGACTTGCAGTCAGAGCTTCGACTTAATAACAGAAAAAGCCAGGGGAAAAGGGTGGGAAATTCAAACTGGTGAAGAGGCTGCTTCTTTGTAGCTCTTTCGACCCAATGGTTAGAGCAGGGGGTCAGGGAACGTTTTAATTTTTTTAAAGCCCCAGCGCCTTCCGATGGGGCTTTTTGTGTGCTTTAATATTTTTTTTGTATTTTTTTGAAATGCTGTAACGGATTAATCCCATTCCCATGCATTTCAAGGAGAAATGGTGCTTCAACTTAAAGAAAATTTTGAGTTTTAGTTCCAATACAGATTAATTTCGTAAGTTGAGGCACCATTGTATAGTGTTTCTCTGAGCCTGGAGGACCATAAAGCATTCTGCACATTGAATGAATTATGCAACACTAACAGCATCATGAGACTCGCACAACACACATGCAACAACACAAATGCAAGCCCCCATCACCAGACCCCAGGAATGTACCAGCAAATGGACATTGTAGGGGAACAACTTATCAAATGTCAGTCATTTTGCAAAGACGTTTTATTTGAAAAACCAAGTAATCTGAAAAATATTTCCAATCTATCAAGAGAAACAAAAGTCCATATAAAAGGCATGAACAAAAATATTTGGTACAAATATTCATTAAAGGGTCATAATTATACAACGGTAATTGTCTCTCTGCCCCCAAATCAACCAGCAATTAAAAAAAAATGAGCATGAAAAGCATTGTTTGGATGAATTCATTCATTAACAGAATGTGGTTAAGACGTTACAATATTTTAAATAAGATATGAAGTGGTAAAGCACTTTCACAGCAACCTTTCAGATTTCAAATCTCCAAAGGAAGCAGAAAGATTAACAGTTTCTATCCTAATCTTTTCCCATAGCAAGGAAAGCATGAGGGGACACACACACACACACACTTTTGGAATGGGGTAAGAAGTGACATCGAGATCAACAAACAGATCCACTACCAACCCCAAAGTTGGAGTGAAGTAAGGAGAGCCAACGTTCTTTTTTCTGACCTAAAAGGACAAAGGGATCCTTACTAGAGCGAGGGTGCTTGGATCATCTGCACCTGTTGTCATCTACGGAGTGTGAGTGGGAAAATGAAACTTCTGGGTGCCAAACCATGGCCTACAAGTTACCACTTATAACCAGCCCCGCGAATGACCAGGACGTTTAGAGTGCAGGAAACACTTATATGCCTGAAAGTGAAGGTCCTTCCAGACTAGGTTCCACAAGCGTAACAGTGTCCATAAATAGCACACTCTTCATCTGAGTGCTCAGTTGATGTTCCTTTGGCTCTGAGGGATGGGAAGATTTTCATGAAGGTATTTCATACTCCCTTGCTCTGAGAAGTCGGACACTATGTGGTTCTCCCCTCTTAGCAGCCACTTCGTAGTCAAGAGGCCCTCAATTCCCACTGGCCCACGGGCGTGGATGCGTGATGTGCTGATGCCAACCTCGGCCCCTACAAGGAAAGAATGGAAGAATTACACAGATGGTAGCAAGAAAGTGAATGGGGAAAATTCTATTATCCGGTTCATTAACCCAAGTTACAATTATCAGACCATGTTCCCCTCAACATGCTTCACGCATTATCTTGGAGGTCCTGACCAGTTCAGTCATGTACCTCAGAGGACTGTGGGTTCCTTTTTGTGACACAGCATCGTAAGAATTAAAGGTATAGCAGCAAAATACTTCCTGTTCATCAAGTCATTTGTATCACAGTTTCTCTCCACTAGAATTACCACCTTGAAACTGCCTGCACGTTGTGCTCAGAAACGCAAGTTTTACCCATATGCTGATCGTTACATATTGCTGGCAGTACCAGTTGTGCTGTTGTTAACATGTAGATCAAAAATACAATTGGTGTTCACAGAGGAATGGTGTACATTGTTTTGGCACTGGTGCACATGGCCAGGGATACAATCAACACCTCTTGATATCTGATCAATTAGCTATGGCAACCTATACTATCCCTCTGCATATTATTGTTATTTTTTTTAACAGGATGAGACTGTATGAAAAAGGCAAGCTAACCCTTTTCTCCTGAATTCAAACGGTTTCTGTTTCAAGCAGACGGTCTGGTTTGACTGCAAACAACGCAGAGTGCCTGGCGCTTGCACACTTACCAAGCCCAAAGCGATAGCCATCTGAGAAGCGGGTACTGGCATTCCAGAAGACGCAAGCACTGTCCACATGCTGAAGGAAGAACTCGGCTGTTTTTTCTGACAAAAGGAGAAGGAGAAAAGGCTCAACGTGCCGTGATTTACAACAAAACAGTGTGCAGACTTAAAAAACAACTCTGCTTCAGTAGATGCTTGTTTAATATAGGAAACCCCATGTGAACTGACACAACTACAGAACCCTTAATGTACAGATGGGGAAAGCACAGCTTGGGGGCTGTATATGCCTCCCTTAAAGGGACTAGTACAACCTCCTAAACCTCTTTAGACCCTTCACCACAGACCTCCCAAAACACACCACATACATTTCCAGATCCAAAATACAAATTGCACCCCTTAGAAACCAGGGAGCAGTGTCAGGTCTTTAAAAGACTTTTTTCAGTACTGGAAGTGATTAGCTGGTCACTTCCTGTTTCTTAAAAAGGTCTGATTTAAAAGGCCTAAACCCAATCCTAGAAGGGGCGAAATGCAAAATCAGAAGCCTTCCCCCAGGCTTGAGACACGTACAGTTGAAGGCACTAAGGCAGCCTCGGAGATGCATGTTGGGCTCCGATTCCCATATGATGGTAGTTACAGCCCAGCCAGTGCCTCTAGTAGGCATCGGTCTGAAGAAGGCTGCCCTAAGAACAGTCACCCTGGCCACACACCATTATCTGTGATGATGACATCCGTATGGGAACTCCCATATCTGTGGATATGTTCAATCGCATCCTGCATACTGTCCACAACTTCAATACAGCACTCCAGGTCTCCATATTCTGTACGCAGCGATTTCACCTCTGAGGGGCTGAATGTCAGGTAGGAAGCAAATTTTGGGCCAGCATGAACCTTCACCTAAGAGGACCACAAAACACTTCAGAACATTTTAATTCAATAAAGGACAGCCCTACACAAAAAGACAACCCATGCCATGTGGAAACTTCTGCTTGAAGGTTGTAGCTGCATTCTACTCCAGTGACGTGCATACACTCCTGGCAGGATGTGGCAACTGCCAGCAGGCAGGGTAGCCCCTTCTGCCCTTTCGCTTAGAGGTGAAGCATAAGATCAAAGGGTTATTTCAGCCAATCCTGGTTACAATTAGGTAACTAGTATCCTATCTGTCTCTCTCACAACATACTATGTAAATCATGCTAAGTAAATTAAAGAGCTTTCGGGGCGTTGCCAGTAGGCTCCGCTGGTTCGTGGCAGATCTGTGCTGTCAGCTCCTTTGTTCTAAGGCAATTAGTCTTCCGTTGTTCCGTGATCACCCACAATGACACATGGGGAAAGACTGTAACTCAGTGCTGAGGATACCCTTCTTGACATGTAGAAAATTCTAAATTCAAATCCTGACACCATCCAGACGAGACTGGGGAAATTCCTCTGCTGGAAACTCTTGAGGAGCTGCAACCAGTCACAGCACTCCAGGAGTGGCAACGGACAGTACATGATCTACATGTAGCCTCTGCCCTCCCAAAGTTTTTCAAAAATGTTTTTTTCAAAAATATATTTGGCCAGCAGAATTTGCGACAACATTTCTTCAGTTAAAAAACGAGGCTTACATTTAAGGCCAGAAGTGTCTTAATTAATGTTTATTTTATTTATGAAACTCAATAAGTCGTATCATTATTTAATATAGAGTCATTCTGTCATTATATTTATTTTTAAGAGAGTAAATCAGCGATTTTGAATACTCATCAGCTACTTAAGCCAAAGCTTCAACACATCAGCTAGGCCTCCTCGAAGTGCGGCCTTCAAGCTGCTGGCCAATCTGAAAAATACTCCTACACGCTGCCAAAGTTGCCCTGTCACTGGTGCAGACAGGGCTGGGCTAGATAGACCAATGGCCTAAACTTGGTACAAGACAGATTCCTATGAGTCTTTCTATAGGTTGGGTTTTTTTTTTTTTAGTGAATTCTTCTTCAAAGACATTAAAGTAAGGTTCTTAGTACATTCTACACAGAAGCAGCCATTTTATGGGTTGTGGCTGCTGGACAACAATGCAACTTCTTTCTATGTTGTTCAGAGTGCCTTCAGACTCTGGGCTAGCAGAAGAGGTACATTTACCAGTCAACCCTCCAAGTCCTGCTTCAAGAATACTGATTGTAGGAACTAAATATCTTAAGTTATGCTTGCCCCCCCCCCGCAGAAGTTTAACAAACATAAAATTCATATGTTCCAAGAAATCTGAGAGGACTTCAAGAGAAACCTGCCTTCTAAACACTTGTCTCTGGTGGCTTTCCAGTCCAGGTTAGACAGAGAGGTGCCTTGCAGAACTTCAAGATCAGCCTGTACCACTACAAAAGCTGGCTCTAACGGAAATGTGTTTTCAAGGTTAAACTCCATGCTATGTCCAAAATAACGGTGTTGTATGAAAAACCTATGCCCTACCATGTGTAATGCATTAGCAAATTCCTCAGGGTTTGTATCTGCTGTATTCTACCTTCAGTGAGCTGCTCACAACAGAGGAACTCCTGCCAGCTCATCCTTCACATTCACTCCATACAAGGCAGCCATTTTTCACTTGCCTGTTCCACGCGCAACATGTCAATGATTTGGTCAAACACAGGAGTTCTCAGCAAGTCCCGATGTATCAGCAGCGTCTCCAGGGCATTGCATGCTGCAGGGTATTCACATTTTGAGTCTCTCACTGGATGAAAGGCAGACAAATGGTTACACAGAATGGTATGTTGCAAACAGCTGTTGATCATCTAAAATAAGCCGGTGAACTGGGACCACTGTTGAACGTTCATCCTCTCTGCCATCACATCCTCCATTCAGCCTGGCCAATTGAAAAACAAGATTTTTGTCCTCTTACCTATTCTGGTGACCTTCTCAACGCTGGCCTCCAAGTCCACATACACATGACAAATTCCTTCACTGTGTCCCATCACAGGGATCCCTTTAGCAGCTTTCTGGATGTCCCGCACCAACTGAGATGAGCCACGAGGGATAATCAAATCTATTAGTTTTTCTAAACGGCACAGGTCTTCCACCTCCTCCCTGGTATTTACCTGAAAAGACCAAGCAAGCCAAGTTTCTTTAAAAACAGTTTAAACAAATCAATACATATTTAAGAGCTGTGGTGGGAAATGTGTGGCTGTCTGTATGTTATCAGACTGCAAGCTTGTCCACTCTGGGATTATGCCTTAGAGAAGAGCCTGGTTGTTTTAGAGAAAATTATGCTTCTGTGTACAGACAAGAACAAGTATAGCTGGACTGTAGAATAAATAAGGTAATGTCTGACACAATACCATATGCATTCACTAGGGAAGAAAATATCTAGAAGAGCTTTGAAAGGAGCTGATTATTTCCAGGATCCTTGCCCAGTCCAGAAGGCCTGCCTGCACTGCAAGAACCCAATTATCTAGATTTGCTTTATGGTATTGCAATGCCAGAGGCTGGAAAAGCAGTTCCAAAAATCCTTCACTCAGCATAGATTCTAGCCACAGTGGCAAGGAGATTCTGGGGGTTTGTCATCCTCAAAAGTAACTTTCATAAGCAATGCTCAACATAATGAAGCAAGAAAGAAAAAATATCTTACTTTCTGGTAAGATTTATGCAGCCAAGATATTTAAATTAGAAATATCTGCCCTGTATGAAATAAACATGCTTCATTCTTACTGAGGAAAACTGCCAATTTTTTTTCCACCACAGGTTTTCTTTCAGACACAGTCATGCATTACCTCAAGAAATAAACACGTCCTAAAAAAACATAAACCCACCAGAACATCTGGCTTCTTTTTTCTAAAGAATATATCTTGGTTCTGATACCAGCATAAGCACATTCCCTCCTTCTCAAGCTGCCTTACCCCCTCAAGTACTCACCAGTTGCACTGCATCCTTCACACCATGGATGGAAAGTGCTTCTTGTGTCAGTTGGTGGAGGAGTTGGTTACTGCATGATGCCTCTTTTCCTCCTTTAAGCAATAAACCATTTCCGCTGGCTATAGCCAAAGCGGATACCTAGCAGTACAAAGGGAGCAAGACCAGTTTTAGGAAATACATTCATAGCAGTAGCAGACCTTTCTGTCTTTTACAACAACCTTACCTACACTGGTCACCTCCATGATGTCCTACATTATAAATCCCAACATCCCTAGCCAACATGTGCAGACATGCATGTAGGATCTGCAGCCCAGTAGAAGCTTTCCAGGTTGTGAGTCTAGTGACTACTGGCTTAAACAGGACTATCTGCAGTAAGCTTTAGAGGTAAACTGTACTGTTGATGTAAAAAGAAAAAGTGGCTGCCTTGACAACTTTTTAAGAGGACAGAAAGGGGAACAGAAGATATATCTTCAAAAATAAAGTTTCCTACAAAACATCAACCCATGTTGTTGTTGTTTAGTTGTTAAGTCGTGTCTGACTCTTGTGACCCCATGGACCAGAGCACACCAGGCCCTCCTGTCTTCCACTGCCTCGCGGAGTTGGGTCAATTTCATGTTGGTAGCCTCGATGACACTGTCCAACCATCTCATCCTCTGTCGTCCCCTTCTCCTCTTGCCTTCACACTTTCCCAACATCAAGGTCTTTTCCAAGGAGTCGTCTCTTCTCATGGGATGGCCAAAGTATTGGAGCCTCAGCTTCAGGATCTGTCCTTCCAGTGAGCACTCAGAGTTGATTTCTTTCAGAACAGATAGCTTTGTTCTCTTTGCAATCCAGGGGACTTTCAAGAGTCGCCTCCAGCACCACACTTCAAAAGCATCAATTCTTCGGCGGTCAGCCCTCTTTATGGTCCAGCTCTCACTTCTGTATATCGCTACTGGAAAAAACATAGCTTTGACTAATGCGGACCTTTGTCGGCAAAGTGATATATCTGTTTTTTAAGATTCTGTCTAGGTTTGTCATCGCTTTCCTTCCAAGAAGCAGGAGCCTTTTAATTTCATGGCTGTTGTCCCAATCTGCAGTGATTATGGAGCCCAAGAAAGTAAAATCTGTCATTGCCTCCATATCTTCTCCTTCTATTTGCCAGGAGGTGATGGGACCAGTGGCCATAATGTTAGTTTTTTATGTTGAGCATCAGACCATTTTTGCGCTCTCCTCTTTCACCCTCCTAAGATTCTTTAATTCCTCCTCACTTCCTGCCATTAGAGTGGTATCATCCGCATATCTGAGGTTGTTGATATTTCTTCTGGCAACCTTAATTCTGGCTTGGGATTCTTCCAGTCCTGCCTTTCACATGATGTATTGTGCGTATAAGTTAAATAAGCAGGGAGACAATATACAGCCTTGTTGTACTCTTTTCCCAATTTTAAACCAATTAGTTGTTCCATATGCAGTTCTCACTGTTGCTTCCTGTCCCACATATAGATTTCTTAGGAGACAGACAAGGGATTTGATTTAGATTATACCTGACGAGCCCATTGGTTTTCCCTACTCTCTTCAGTTTAAGCTTGAGTTTTGCTATAGGAAGCAGATGATCAGAGCCACAATCAGCTTCAGGTCTTGTTTTTGCTGACTGTATACAGCTTCTCCATCTTTGGCTGCAGAGAATATAATCAATCTGATTACAGTATTGCCCATCTGGTGAAGTCCATATGTAGAGTCGCCTCTTGTGTTATTGGAAAAGAGTGTTTGTAATGACCAGCTTGTTCTCTTGACAAAACTCTATTAGCCTTTGCCCTGTTTCGTTTTAAACTCCAAGGCCAATCTTACCTGTTGTTCCTTTTATCTCTTGACTCCCCACTTTAGCATTCCAGTCTCCTAAAATGAGAAGAATATCTTTCTTTTCGTGTCAGTTCTAGAATGTGTTGTAAGTCTTCATAGAATTGGTCAATTTCAGTCTCTTCAGCATTGGTGGTTGGTGCATAAACTTGGATTACTGTGATTTTGAAGGGTCTGCCTTGGATTCATATTGAAATCATTCTATCATTTTTGAGATTGTATCCCAGTACAGCTTTTCCCACTCTTTTGTTGACTATGAGGGCTACTCCATTTCTTCTATGGGATTCTTGCCCACAATAGTAGATATGATAATCGTCTGAATTGAATTCGCCCATTCCCATCCATTTTAGTTCACTGATGCCCAGGATGTCAATGTTTATTCTTGCCATCTCCTGTTTGACCACATCCAGCTTACTAAGGTTCATAGATCTGACATTCCAGGTTCCTATGCAGTATTTTTCTTTGTAGCATTGGACTTTCCCTTCACTTCCAGGCACATCCGCAGCTGAACGTCCTTTCGGCTTTGGCCCAAACGCTTTATTAGCTCTAGAGCTATTTGTACTTGTCCGCTACTCTTCCTCAGTAGCATGTTGGACGCCTTTCGACCTGAGGGTCTAATCTTCCAGTGTCATATCTTTTAGACTTTTGTTTCTGTTCATGGAGTTTTCTTGGCAAAGATACTGGAGTGGCTTGCCAGTTCCTGCTCCAGGTGGATTGCGTTTAGTCAGAACTCTCCACTATGACCTGTCCGTCTTGGGTGTCCCTGCACAGCATAGCCCATAGCTTCTCTGAATTACTCAAGCCCCTTCACCACGACAAGGCAGCAATCCATGAAGGGGTTATAAACCCATACCCACACCAAAATTAAACTTAAACTAAATTAAAATTAATACACACAAACATGCACTAACGGCAAATTCATATGGATCATTTCCCTCCTCTGGAGTCCAGAAAGCCAACAAGTTCATAAAACGAGTTGTTTCCAATCCATAATAAGACAAATTAATGTTGTTTTTCCACAGCTCATGTTTCTCACTCACCTGAGGAAGGCAGTCAGGTCGGGATTCAAAAATCACCAGCAAGACCCCAATAGGCACAGTCACTTGCTCCAGTTCCAAATCCTTCGCTATCCGTGTTCTTCTCAGGACACGGCCCACACTGTCCTGTGACGAGGCTGCAATCTGACGCAGCCCAATAGCCAAGCTATTCAACTTGGCGGTTGAGAGACTGAGCCTCTTCAAGAGAGGCTGGGCCAGTCTCCCTGAAAGAGATGCAGAAGTCAGGATTCACGTTATCATGTTGCAAGCCAAGTGGAGGTACAGTTCAAGTAATCTAGGGCCAATCTTTGTTAAAACATAGTATTTAGGAATTTTATCCTGAGGCAAGATAACCATCAAGGCCCTTGTAGCAAGAACAGTCTGTTGCACTGCTTATTGTTCTGCACTCACACGGAACTGTTTTGTTTGTCCACTCTGAGTACAGAATGCTGGATGGGTTAGGCCTCTGGACTGATCCAGCATGATTCTTCATCCCTTCATTGATGCAGATCTATGAGCCACAGATCTGTATCTAGCCTGAGAGCCAGCCCGTCTTAGTTGGTTAGGCATTTTTATTTGGGAGAAAACGTGACCTTGTGGACAGCATGATCTTAGTTGTGATCTTGACTCCCCTTTACCTGGTAGCTCACATGGAGAGCTACACATTTTTTGGCCATAATGGTTGCCCCTGACGTTGCCCATGGTGGCATCTGAAAACATACAGGGACGAACAGGGATAGTGAGGCTTAGATCTTTCCACTCCTACTCACTGGGATTTAGCAATTCCTGTTATGTTTATGAAAGCTTCACTCTCTCCTGCCTGAGGCTGCTCCACACAGAATGCTGTTTTCCTACCTCTGCAGAGAAATACTGTACTCAGCTGTTCTTTGGGAGACGAACGGTATTCTTACTGAAGATCATTAGTGCATGAATGTGGGCAAAAGCCTCCACCTATCCCCATTCTGAGCAGTTGACAGGTTTTTTTTTCTCATAGCTGCTCAGATATTCAGCAAGGCCTTGGAGAAATGTCACTGGGGCTTGTACCTGAAGCAACTGGGGGCCACATGGAGCTTGTATGTCATGTACATACCCTGTCTATCATATGCAATTAGAGACAGACTGAATGCCCTAGATTAGAATATATGAGTTCTGACTAGCACTAGAATTCAGTTCTTTTGACAAACTCATAGAGCCAAAAGGGACCATAACAGTCATTGAGCCCAGAGAGAGAGAGATAATTCATGAGAAAGCATTGAGCCAAAATTGCGGACAAGTTTCAGTATTTCAGGAGAATTTGGCATAAAATGTTTATATGTTTCTAGCGTTTGATTGTCTAATCTCTATAGATTGCCAAAATGCAACGCAGGAGCCTTAGACATATCCTGCATCACCCCTTGGGCCAATGGAAAACTATTTCTATCTCCTACTCCTGACGCAGTGTTTTTAAACCTCTTTATTCTGTAAATATTACCTTTGTTTTCAGCTTCTTCCATATCTTTTTTGTTGGCTGCAAGAATCTCTTCTCGCTGATCTGTCAGAAGGTCAGCAAGATGATAGATAATTTCTGCTCTCTGTAATAAGACACATGAGAAACCATCAGTCACTTCCATACATGTAACCTGTTCTCTCACCACTATAGTGATAACAGTGGCACTATGAGCTCCTCCCACTTCACAATTCAATCTCTAGTTGCATTGCCAGATCCTTGTCTTATCCCTCGTAGTCTAGCCTGCCTGTACGCTGCTGGATGAGTACCTAATCACTTTAATTTGGGACTCAGTTTGCTCCACCATCATTCTTCAGAATACCTGTGCTACAGAACCACCCTCATTTATTTCCCTTTCCCCCTCTTTCTAAGTGCCACAGGCTTACGCTACTGAGTTCTCACCATACAGGCTAGGCATCAAACCTCCACAGTTCGCCAACCCAAATGCTCCATCAGAAGCCTAATAATCCCCGTTTTGCTATCCTATGCTAGCAGAAAACAAGCAGGGTTGAGCTGCTGAAGGATCAGCACCTGGGCTAGGAACCTATGTGCTAAACTGCATTTTTACATCAGTAAACCATTAATCAATGGTTGCTATAGATTTTTGGGCTGTTTGGCCATGTTCTGGCCCAAAAAGCCTACAACAACCATCAGATCCCAGCCGTGAAAGCCTTTGAGAATACATTAATCAATCTTAAGAACCATAAAGGAAGCTTAACATTAAAGAATCATTGTTGCGATTTCCACACCGGCTCTTTCCTGTGCTCAGTGCTGCAAGATCTGATGTCTGCACGGGTCGACTGTTAGTCTTGGGTATTTATTAAAAAGCACTTGCACTGCTTTTGAAAGCTTCAAAGCATAATATACACTGAATAGGCAGGTACCTGTTCAGGGTCTAGCGCTGCCAGACTTCTGCCTCCTGTTCGAGCCATTTCAGCCTGTTGCTCTACAGTCGGACCTTTTGAGAAATGAAGGAAATGTTGTAATCAGTTGCAACTATATCAACTGCAGCTACTGTGTTTTCTAAGAAGAATATTTAGAGAAGTTACTCTTTCCCTGTCTAAGTTCTTGGATGGGGTTTTAACACCTCCAGGTCCACAGATATGGGGCACACATTTTAGACCTGCACTCTGCACACACACGCACACACCCTGCAGGATACTAACTTTACACCACACCTGCTGCTGATATGCAGCCCAATGTCCTTCCTATACTAGAATTTCATTCCCAGGGAAAAACAAAACAAAATGAAAAGCCCACCGATCCCCACTTCTAGCAGGGATCTTCCTCTTCGGCATCTGTACTACTTATATTCCTGACCACTCCCAACATACCTGCAGGCTTCACCTCTGAAAAAAATGTGCCAACTTTTTTCCCTTCTACAATGTCTGTAATAACGTGGCCTGAGATTTTGGGGTGAGTTCCATTGGCAATCACAACCGAAGTACCTCCTTGGAGAGCCCACAAGGCAGCTTTCACCTATAAAGGAAAAATGCATCTTAAAAATAAGAAAATAGATGCATGCTTTCAAAACAATATAAAGCAACTGTTTTCTGTAACATCTGGTATAAATTAAGAACTCTCCAAGGATCAACCCCTTACTACAGGCATTAAATCCAGAGGCAACAGTTTAAATTAGCAACTTACATTTTTATAATGGGCAGAGCATAGGCCATGGAGATAAGCACTGCACCCTAGAGTCGGACACGACTGGACTAAATATCAAGGGGAACCTTTACCTTTACCTATTTCAGTTACAGTAATAACAAAATGCATGTGTTTTGTTATTTCTGTAACTGAAATAGTTAAAGGTAAAGGTTCCCATTGGCATTTAGTCCAGTCATGTCTGACTCTAGGGCGCAGAGCTCATCCCCATTTCAAAGACATAGAGCCAGCGTTTGTCCAAAGACAGTTTCCGTGGTCACGTGGCCAGCACGACTAGAGACGGAACACCGTTACCTTCCCACTGAGGTGGTACCTATTTATCTACTCACATTTTTACATGCTTTCGAACTACTAGGTTGGCAGGAGCTGGGACAAGCGACAGGAGCTCACTCCATCACGTGGATTTGATCTTACGACTGCAGGTCTTCTGACCTTGCAGCACAGAGGCTTCTGCGGTTTAACCCGCAGCACCACCACGTCCCTATAATAACTAAAATAGTCATCATAAAATATATTAATGAAGATCTCAACCTGTTGCTAAGTGCCATTCTCTTTCCCCAGTACACAACAGAACACAAGCAAAAGCAGAGTGAAGTTTGACGAACCTTGGCCTCCATGCCTCCCATCCCCACCCGTGATTTGGTGCCAAAAGTCACTGATTGCTGATCTCCAGGATAAAATATGTCAATGAGTTTTGCATCATCTGATCCAGGGGGGCTATCAAAGAGTCCTAAAAGAAAGAGATGGAGATGTGCTAGAAGCATGTACTGTATCTTCAACAGCATTATGGTCAAAAAGCGCTGCATGAGTCTAGGCAGAGGAAAAGAGGGAGTAAAGTAGCTGTAAGTTTTGCACAAACAATATCTTAAGAGGAAACCAGTTGGGGGCTTTGTAGCCCACATACCTGCCCACTTACATAATCAAATGTAAAACATCATTTTACTTCTAACATACAAACATTCCTTCCTGAGCTTCATTTCTCAGCAATCTAGCACTCCCAAAGATCTACACTATGCATTTTGCACCCTGCCCCATTCCTTCCTTAATCCTCCTCCATTTTCCCATTACTTCCATCACTCTAGCCTCTGTCACATACATCCTTTTGCCCTTTTTTCAAGGGATGGGGGAAAGTACAAGGAAACAGGGGCATAGAAAGTCATGGCTACCATTTACTGTAGCAGGCTGCGTAAAGTAACATCACAAGTAGAGATGGGGTTATTTGTATATGAATGCCCCTGCACAGGTGGCAGTAACGAGGGTCCAGCCCCATGGGGCCAGATGGTCCACTCACAATTTTGCCACTGTCGCAACCTCCATGCTCCCATCCTATCACTCTGGAGATTGCAATCGGCTTGCTACTCCTGGCAGGAGGCGGGACAAAAAGCCTCCCTGCCAGGTCAAAGAGTGGCTCCAGGCAGGACAAAAAGCCTCCCTGCCCGGTCAAAGAGTGGCTCACAGATTGCAAGCTCCGGAGTGATAGGAAGGATTCCAGAGCTCGTGGCAGTGGTGGAATTGTGAGTGGACCATCCAGTCCCATGGGGCTGGACCCTTGTAATCACCACCTCTGCGGGGGTATTCGTATACAAATTCAAATGCCCCTATCTCTAGTCACAACTTTGATTTGTCCACTGCAAAGTGGGAACCACAGTGCTCTGGTATCGACCCACAGTATCATGTTGGTGGCAAATGGAAAGTACCAAACACCCAGTAAAGAAAGTGAGCACATTAATACAATAAAGGAAAGAAACAGGAGCACAGATGTATTACCTGTCTAGTTTGCTCCATATTGTTAAGATCAAACAATACTCATCCTATGAGCTTTTGCACAAAAAAGTAATAAGAATCAGAATTTAAAGCCAGAGAGAAGATTGTGAGGCTTCTGATTCTTTTTGGGTCTAACAAGCTCTGTTCCTTTGATGTTCATGCAATTTGGGAAGACACTAATCTATTCCAACAAGGAAGACCCCATCTTTCTCAACTCTAGGTACCTTAACAGATTCCACACCTCTGTCTCTAACTAGCAGCAGAAATGTAATTATTGTTCCTCTTTTACAAGGCCTCCTCTGCAACCCAAGATAATGAGCAGAGACAGAATTCTGACAGGACTGCACAACCAATTTGACTGGATAATGAAAAAGGATTCATACCCTCGACATCTGAAAGAATAATCAAGAGATCGGTCTTCATTTCCACTGCTAGCCGTGCTGCTAAACTGTCATTGTCCTTTACACTGATTACCTGCAACATACACAGAAGTCAGTAATACTAACCAAGTGAGAGGTACCATATCCCCATGCAATTCTTCAAAAAGAAAAGCACAAACATGGCTATTGTGCACTAGGAGCATTTGCATGGTGAAATGTTCTGCCATGAGCACCCAGTCAACAGCCAGACTTGCAAGCAACACCCAATACCCCTATTTAATGCACTGCAACCAGAAGCAGAAAGACAGGCACTTCAGCACTGTAGGATTCTACTCACCCCCATGCTCTACCAGTCCATCTTGGAGAATCCAGAGTGACCACAACGTTAGTGCACACCACAGCCCAGAACTAGCGTGTTAGCAGGTCCAAAAGCAAGACAGCACCAACCACCCACTGCAATGCACTACCCACGTTTACCCCCTGTAGATCACTGTTTGGCTCTGGGGGAGGAACCACAGCATCATTGGTGTTGATGATGGGGACAATGTTCATCCGTAGCAATTCATGCAAGGTCCCATTTAAGTTCCGACGCTTCTGCTCGTCGTGGAAATCCAAGTTAGTGACCAGAATCTGGAAAGAAGAAAAGAACTGCTCTGACAAAAATTATCCACTATCAGTTTCGGTATGAACAAAGCCATCAAGTACACAAATGGAAAAACAGAGACAAACTAAAAAGTTTCTGAATTCTTTTCAGAAGAGAATGTACATTCTATTAAGTCAAACCAAGGCAAATGAAGGGGAATTGTGTACAATCCATTCCAGTGACAGAAGTCACATTAACCACATGTGAAACTTGAAAAGTCACCCTAAGGACCTGACTACATACATGGAGGTGTGGCACAGTCAAAGGAGTGATGAAACTAAGGTACTGGCAGCTACTGGACTGGGAGCAAGTCATAGGGTTGACAGGGATAAAGCTCCTAGAAAAAATTTATTATTTCTTTATTATCCCACTGTTCTTGCAAAACTGGGACATGGGGAGGTTCCCAACATGGAAAAGGTACATTGGAAGTTATAATATTAAAACACAATTCAACTAATTTACTCAGCCAAACATCAGGTGAATTAAAAGCTATCTTCAAATGCATCAGCATTCATCCATTCAAAGTCCCCTTTTGAGCAAGTGGTTATTTGCCAAAAGCCTGCCTGACAGCTGATGGAAAGGCAAATTGGGGGCTTGCCTGATCTCTCCGGGAATGAAATTTCACAGCCTAGGACCACCCACCAGGAAGGTCCTTCTTTAAGTTTCCTACCACACATGCCTTTGAGATATGAGCAGTGGTTCTCAAACGTGAGTCCCCAGATGTTCTTGGACTGCAATTCCCAGAAGTCTTCACCACTTGCAATGTAGGCCAGGATTTCTGGGAGTTGCAGTCTGAGATCATCTGGGGGCCCAAGTTTGAGAACCACTGACTTAGTGAAGTATCTCTCTGAAGAACTCTTAAGCCCAAATGGGAACAAGGAAGTACCATGGAGGAATCAGTTCCAGACATAAGGATCCAAGAGGGACGTATTAGGCCTCTGTGAGACCATGTATCACATACAAAGTTTCTTACCTGGGCTGCACAGATGCTGTACTGGGTGAACATGGCCTCGTACAGAGCCATCAGCCCACTCTGACCAGCAGCAGCACAGGCTCGAGCTTCTAGCACAGGAATGGCCTGAAAAGATTGGAAAACGTATCAGCATGTCACAGCGGGATGCACAGCAGTGCCAACAGGACACACACACCCCCGACTGTCCCAGCTACTCACCATATCTTTGAGCTGGTTCTGCCCTGAGTGGAGAGCCTGCCTCACGCTCTGTGAGAGCAAGATTTCATGACGGAGCCGCTGCTTCCCAAATGCCACAGCCCCACTAGTGACAATCATCATCTCTCGCCCCTGGTTTTGCAGCATCGATACCTGCAGACAGGAAAGAAGGAACTTGTCATAAGTTTTAGGGTCATCCTGTCCTGCTCCCAGTTCCACAGACTGTGCTAGCTCTTCCATGGGAAAATATTTTTCCATATCACTTTTTCTGCTTTTTTGATAAAAGTGCTTGGTGCTGCTCAAAATAGGTTGAGAAAAGGCAGTTAATAAGGGACAATCCTCAGAATACTCTTTGCAGTAATTCGAAAAATCTAATTATTCCTCTCCCTGCAATACCTTCTTTTTAAAAAAATTCTCTAGAACTCCTGCTTCTTTACAACACTATCAGGGTGGAATACATCTGGATGGCATCAGTGCACAGCAAATGTCAAAGTGGCCAGCGTGTCTAACTAGGATTTAGGAAGTCAAAGCTCAATTTGTCAGTGAGTTGGGTGGCCTTGGGTCAGCCCCATCCTCTGGGCCTGGCCTGACTTACAAAGGAGTTGTGAGGATAAAGTGAGGGAGGAAGAGATCATGTGGAGGGAAAGTGTGAGATAAATGAAGCCAATACAGTGGTGCCCCACTTGAGGATTACCTCATTAGATGAGGAAATTGCTTAACGATGAGTATTTTGCGATTGCTATAGTAATTACAAAACGATGTTTGTATGGAGTTTTTCGCTTAACGACGATCAAAACAACTGATTGTTGGGGTTTCAAAATGGCTCCCCGCTGTGTTTTAGGACGGATTCCTTGCATTACAGGCACCGGGAACTGGCCGCCCTATGGAGGATCTTCGCTGGACGCTGAGGTATTTCGCCCACTGGAACGCATTGAACCGGTTTTCAATGCATTTCAATGGGTTTTTTTACTTTCGCTTGACGATGATTTCGTTCTACAGCAATTTTGCTGGAACAGACTATCCTCGTCAAGCGAGGCACCACTGTAATATGTAACATCTCTTGCTCTTCAAATAAGAGACTCTCTGCTCCAGTCCCTTCTCCACTAGAGGGATCTGCTACTATTGCTAGTTATGAGCAAGTTCTGAAGTACCATCACTGTAGGCAAGAAGCCTGAGACATTTTGTCTTCTTGTGTTCATATTAATTAAATTGCTGTTCTGCCCAGCCCTCAGTTAAGGCCAACGTGAAGGGCTAACAGCCTTAGAATCCACCAGTCTGCATAGGTATTGATTTAAGAGGAAAACAAGTGGCCAAGCCATCACCCCAAGTCCCTTAGCTTAGTTACCTGCTCAACAATGGATGCCAGTCGCCCAAGGGCCAAGCCACATTCATCTCCGCGAGTCACAACAGCGCTGCCTAGCTTCACCACAATTCTCTTGGCATGCTTTAACTCACTTCGGTGAGCAAAGGACTTGCCGTGGGCTCGGCTGAGGGGCACTGTGATAAAAGGGATGTTACTCCAGCCGCGGGCAGACGTATTCCTCAACACCAGGTTTGGAGCCAGTAAGCCTGAGATTCAAACATAAAAAATGCATCAGATTCCTTCCTCCTTTTCCTAGATCCCAGATGTCTGGAAAGGAAGGGAAGACATTAAAAATCTGAATACCTCCTACCCACCCATCCTCAGCAACCATCCACTTTCAGAATGCCTGAAAATATTAGTCCAAGTGACCTCTAGGCCCAAGGTCAATTTATTTGCAAAAAGTAATAAAAATTCAATTAAAAATAAACATATTCTCTCTCTCTCTCTCTCTCCATACACATATATATACACTCACACTCATATGAATATGTGTGTGTTGTGTATCTATCTATCTATCTATCTATCTATCTATCTATCTATCTATCTATCTATCTGTCTGTCTGTCTGTCTGTCTGTATGTATATGAATATATGAATATATGAGTAGCTGCCCAAAGCTGCCCATTGACAGGAGCAGCTCTGAGAACTGGAAAATACTAAAGAACTGAAGTCTGAGTATGATTCAAGGCTTGCGTTCAGATTCCTTTTGCTGGCTACAAGTTGATAAAATGGTGGCAGCCGTGCTAAACCATTGACTTACATTATTTACATATTTTTCTCATTAAAAAAATGAAAAAGAAAAATGTGTGGTTTCTAGAATGTTTATTTTGTGTTGTGATTATGCAACAAGAAAATAGAAACCAAGAATCAATTAAGGGAGAGCAACAAAACTATATACAACATGTCTTGCATGTGTTTTGGCATCATCACACCACACATTTTTTCTTTCAACTGAACAGCATCAAAAAAATAGGAGGGTAAAAAAAAAGTTATGAGAAAAATTTGTAAACAACGCAAGTCAATGGTTCAGCATGGCTGTAAGAGGCGGTGCAGACATAGGCTGCCATCAAGGGCACACTACCGCCATTTTATCTACTCGTAGCCAGCAAAAAGAATCCGAACGCAAGCCTTGAATCATACTCAGACTTCAGTTCTTTAGTATTTTCCAGTTCTCAGAGCTGCTTCTGTCAATGGGCAGCTTTGGGCAGCTACCTCAGATAACAGATTTGGGGGTTTCATGAAGTGGCAGCAAATTATTATTGCATGTATGCTGCCAAAGAAATACTGGAAAAGGCGCTAATAGAATTTTCTGTCTCCTATGCCAAAGCAACTTGGCTGATTTGGAGTACAGCGCAGCATGACCAGGGGCAGGCACCATTCGTTGGTCTGCTTCAGGAAGCAAAATGTCATTGGCCTGCCCCTGCCATTTTCTTCAGCATTGATACAAGGACCACTATGCCCAGCCCTCTTTTCTCAAATACGTACAAGGGTGGCAGCCAGCTACATCAGATTGCCTCCAGAATCGTCCTGACGAACGCAGTGAAGGGAGAAGAGCAGCCCGGTACAGCATTGTGAAGAGTTTGCTGAATTCAAAAGTACCTGCAATTATAAAAAAGAAAGCCTACATATATAGCTATAAGAACTGTAGCCCAGATAGTTTTCCCACCCAGACACATACATGTCAAAGCTTTGCAGCATACCAGGACAATTGGAAGGGGAATCAGCACCTACCCCCACCGCAGCTCTCCAATGGAAGGTTGGAAAACATACCCTATGAAACGTCCTTCTTTTAAAGAATGGTATCAATACTTTTGAAATTAGTTTTTAAAAATAGTATTGCTATCATCAATTACATTGCTGCAAAACTCCTAAATGTGAAATTCATTAAGACTGATGCTTCCAATATCATTACATTGTTTTACTTATCAAATAAGTAATACACAGTATACCTGAAGTATCGCCACCTATTTGATCTTCAAAATCTCAATGCACACTAGAAATCTGCAAATCAATTTACTTCTGCAGTATAAAGACAAGGCCTTTTGTATAATGCCCCTTTCCTCTTCTGAAATTTCTCCACCTTTGGTATCAGCTGGAACCCAACTGGCGACCTTATGGCAGCAGCAGTGTAATTGAAAAAGCTGTATTGATGAATTGCTGCTAATTAATGAGTTGCTGCTTGTGTGTCTTGTTCAAAGGGCAGGTCACACAAATGGCACATGACCAGGAATATGTATAGCAACTCATTAATCAGTGGCAATTTGTCACAATTTAATCCAATTCCACTTATCTGGTCTATATCCCCAACAGGATTCTGGCTATCAAACACACAGAGAGGGAGAGAGAACCAACAGCCATTTTAACATGTGAAAGAAGTTAAAAGTTTCTTTTAACATTGCAACTTTTCCAAATTTTAATATCCATACAACTCAGTAAAGAAGGCTATGGATTTTCGAAATACTCATTACAAAAGATTAATCTGAAAGTGATATTCTCAGCATATGTTTACTATGATGGAGCACATAAAAATAATAATAGAAAAAGCTGAATTCACCAAATAATTTTTTTAGTTATTTTGATACTTGCTTCTGAGTAGGCATACAAAATACCAAGTCTCAGTAAGATCCACAAAGCTTGCTTTCAGTTAAATGTGATTGTCACTTTGGTAGACAGAGCTGTAATAGAGGACTAACCGAAATATATTGCTAAATCCAGTTGCTACCTTTGCTTCAAATCCACAAGTCAAATAATAACCAATGCAATCCTTTACAAGATTATGCTGCTGCCATTGATACTGTGAGATAGCAAGTAGAAGAAGGGTGATAGTAACAAGATGCTTACACCCCAGTCTCATTTTGACAACACTAATATCAAAGAGACAATTGTGACAGTGCGTCTCCCTCAGGCCTTTCCAATGCAAACCCTCCACAGCCAAACACCACTGTAGCACTGAGACCACGAAAGAAGCACATGGACATTTTATGACGCTACACAACATTCATTCCCATCTTTAGATTCACACCACTAACCTCCTAGTGCAAATGCCAGAGCAGTCCCCTATATGGATTCAAAAACTGCCTTTATAAAACATTGCCCCAGGTACAGAAAGTCCCAACCCTTAGCACTTGTACCTACTTTTTATGAAGAATAAAACTGGATGGGGAAGAAAGCAAGCCTTCAGACAGAAGCAACTCACGCCTGTGTTCGGGGGGGGGGGGGAGTTAATTCCCAAACTCCTAACAAAATCTAATTAGGATTCCTTAGGAGCTGCCGGCCACCAAAACTGGATCTGTCACTACAGTAGCTCCGAAAAAGAGACAGCAGCCTACCAGAAGCTGATGCAACCAGACTCCTGGCAGAGAAAGGCATCGCCTCCTCACACCACACCAGGCAGCTGTGGCTGATGTAAAAGCTCCACGTTGCAGCACAAAATCCAAGCGGAAGGCTGAAATGTCAACAAAGGCTGCCGAGGAGAAGGCTTCGAGGCAGAGCCGAATCCATGGGGCCCTCTCTTTTCACCACCCACATCTCTACCTGGGCATTTACGAGAGATCAATGGATACGGCTGGATTCTATTTTCCGTGCATTTTCCTTTTGATCATTATCACTTTTCATAGATGTATTTCATTGTTTCAAGTATTATATTACTCGTGAAGAGCACTTAAGGTAAAAGGTAAAGGTAAAGGTTCCCCTTGACAATTTTTTTGTCCAGTCGTGTCTGACTCTAGGGGACGGCGCTCATCCCGCTCTTCAAGCCATAGAGCCAGCGTTTGTCCGAAGACAATATTTCCGTGGTCACATGGCCAGTGTGATTTAGACACGGAACGCTGTTTACCTTCCCACTGAGGTGTTACTTATTTATCTACTCGCATTTGCATGCTTTCGAACCGCTAGGTTGGCGGGAGCTGGGACAAGCGACGGGAGCTCACTCCGTCGCGTGGATTCGATCTTACGACTGCCGGATCTTCTGATCCTGCAGCACAGGCTTCTGCGGTTTAGCCCACAGTGCCACCACGTCCCTTCGAAGAGCACTTACTTTATGAATAAAACAGGGTACCTACCACGACCTCGAGGTGGGCCTGGAAGTAAAGAGACAAAATCCTGAATTCTCAAAATTGGAGAAGCATGGATAAGCTGATAGTCACACCAATTAAAGCTCCAGCAGCTCTACTCTATTCTACTTGAGGCTTCGGAGCAGCTACACCTATGTGGAACCAGACAACACAGTTTGCAGCTACCTTAAACTGCTGAAACTGTGACTGCTCAGGTATAGAACTGTAAAGAAGTGTATGCCTGAAGGAACAGCATAATACTCTATATCTGTTTCCTCAATATGTGCATTTTGACCCTAAAACATCATACTGTATGAATCTGACTTGTGGGGGGGGGAGGGTCACTAGTGTGGGCATTGCCATTGCCAGACTATCCCTATTCAGTCATGGTGGCAGGTAGCAAACTAGCTACAGCTGGTAAGACATTTCCGTGCCATAGTCACTTGCGACAAGACTGGGTCTAGGAATACACCTAAATCGTGTACTTGCCATCGCAAAGAAAGAGCAACTGTACCCAAAAACCTAAACAGGATGAATACCCTTTCTCTGGAGGGGAGAGTCACCTGCTCAGAGCATCTCACAGTTCTGTTATGTGGCAGGATTCTCACATCTGAAATAATTCTATAATTTCCCACATACTGTATTCTTTCCTGCTTTTAACAGAAACAGATAGTAGCACAAAGGATTTAGTGCACATTAGGGCTGTAAATTCTAGCTTGTTCTGTCCTTGCAGGCAAGCAAGATAAATTGTAGCATTCTGCTCCTCCCTAGGAATCTCCTGGGAATTTACATTTGTTCATGTTGCTGGCAAAAGCTTTGCAACTCATAGAGATGTAGGTAGGGCAGAGATGGCGATTAACTCTGCTATAGATTATAATGTCCTGGGAGAGTCTAATCCCAGACTGCTCTGTTATGGCTATGCATTTTTTAAAATCAACAAACCAGAATACCTATATGGTACAGACATATGGCTCAGCCTGGTAGCTGAAGCTTCCTGTCTAATCTATGTCACTGAGTGTAACTGGGAGGAAGAAATGAGCAATCAGTCAAAAAGAACAAACAGTGGGAATCATGCTCATAACCAAGGTTGGACACTGATGCTCATAGATGTCTAGTCAACGGCAACTGTTTTGCATCAAAATGTTCTCATTAGGACATGTCCATCTTGTAATGTCCAAAGTGTGGCCCAGATAACTTTGCTGCAACAATTATAGGGTGATGACTTCGCAGCTGTTCAATCTCTACTGTAGCAATAACAAGCGTCATGCCACAATTCACACATTCCATCACATGCTCTTTCCTACCCTGTGACCACAGTTGTGAGGACAAGCGGGCCTCTGACAAAATATATCCTAACTTTCTAACAGAAGTGCTGTGGTTCAGGAGGGATGTCTGCAGGCCAGCCAGTCTGCACGTTCTTCTCCAGGATATGCTGCTCTACTCCCTGCCCCCATTTTCTGTCTCTCATCCCAAAGGACATTCAAGAAGCCATAGCAACTGAGCACAGACAGTCTTCATTGGACTGTTCTTGGTGGAAGTTAGTTTTTAAAAATGTAGTTACATTCCATAAGCCTTTAGATCGCCTGAAAATGCTGATCACCTCATCATGTTTCTTATTGTCCCTGTTTTGGCTCCACTTCTATCAGCATTAAATTAACTAAACTTGCTATTAGAAATAACAACAAATTCTAGAGAACTGTTGCAGAGCAAGCCACAAATACCTCCTGGAAACATTTGTATGAATCTAAAATGAGTTTGCCTTAATACGGATTTAACAAATGAGCTTGCTTTTGTTTTGCAACTGTTCATTGGAAGATAGCATGGTTTTATTTGTGTGTCTCATGTTTCAGGGACATCAGACATACAGATTATACAGTATTCTTGTGGAAGGAGAACACAGGGAGGGAATGTGTGATTTAGAACTGTGTTCCCAAAGAAATTTTACAGGAGGAAAAGGTCCACCTCTACTTCTTCAAGGATGAGGGTAAAACTAGGGACCATCACACTCCCTCGAGACAAAGGAAATGTGTAAGCCAGTTCTTCACCACCACCACCAGCAGCATCATTACAAACATATTATCTTGATCCCTTACGTTCTGTGTTAACCTGGACTGCTGACAATCAGCACACTTGTTTCAATACTGCGGCACCAAGGTGGCAAGTTTTGTTTCCAATTCGGCAGATTTACTTATGCTATTCAAGCCTTTAAGCAAATTCTGCTATGACTTCAGGGAACTGACTAAACTTTTATTCATATGGCAATTGGTATTAGCCAGAAACAGGATTCTTGCTGGATTTTCTGCTAATGTGAATCATCAAACCTTGTTTTAGGGTAGCATATTCCTGATTTTATTTCCACAAAGTCAGCAGCAGGCCAGTCTTTAACGGTCAGCAAAAACACATGCCCATACTGTATTCCTGTGAAGTTCTCCTTGTGCTACCCTGAAGAAGGCAGCAGGTGGCAGTATGGTCCCCCAAGGCTCCCACAATGACAGACATACAAACATCTCGTATGCTAGATTTCAGTTTACAAAGTATGTCTTTAATAAAGGTATCAGCTATACTATAATTTGATCATAGTATTTTTCTTCAACTCTCATATCTCCAAGTACATTGCTGCATGGTATTTCACATAATTGACAATAATGGTATAACCTAGCTCAGTTTTACCATTACAACTGTATTACTGTTGCCCTTTTTTATACCCAACAATTGAAAAGAGATAAACTAAAAAGAACACCTGTCTGGATGAACATTTTTTTCAACCTCACAACAGATCCTCAATAGTTTTTGTCCTTCGCTGTTATTATCCTACAACCCCACAATACAAGTTATGACAAAGTGAAGGAGACAAGAGATTCCTGTTCCAATAACCAGATGTAAATAGTAAATGCAGATATATTAGTAAGAATTCAATCTAGGTAATAAAAAGATTTTGTACAAAATATCCATGGTGATTTCTTTACATCACTTGAAAAAACCATATTTTCTATTTATGTGAGAACAAGTAGTAGCCTTGTATCATATACTCTGAGTGCTTAACTTGAAAAAGAATAAGAATAATCTAATACCATGACAAGACTCACCTGTATTGCTCTGGTTAGATTACTTCATATGTCAGCCTTACAAGCTTCCCTTGGGAAAATGTTACTTGAGAGCATTGCACATTTTATAGCAAATCCAGCTTGTCTAGTCTGGCCTGGCAATTTTAAGTGGTCGGAGCACAGCATTTCAAAGGAAAACTACTGCGATCCCCACCCTGGCAATTATATGCCGATCCAAACAAGCAGTGGCAAACCAGGGGAAAATTCCTGTTCAAGGGCAGGCCTTACGAAAAGCTTCAAAAACAAGATTTAATCTGTGTCTTTGGTAAAACTGGCTACATTTAGAAGATGCTAGATGAAAGTAAAATAATCCCATGCTACAGTTGTTCCTATCTGCACAAGTTTACTCTGTTCAACCCACTTGCTGGCTCCAGCTGGAGGTAAAATCCCTTTAGCTCCTTGTATTCTACAGAGCAACAATCATACTGATGGTTGAATGCAACAGGAAAAACAGCCATTTCAAAATGGTTATATATATATTTGTTCAACCTCATTGACACATGTTTATCTTTTTAATGGTTTTTATTTCTGTCTATCTTGTATGCTATACAACATGATGTACCTGAAGGCAGAGACAGGAAATGAGTATTTGAATTCTTGGGCTTAAAAATAGCCCAAACTTAGACTCATTTAAACAAAACCTGTCAAGCATCCCTAGTTTTTATCCTAAAGGATTCTTATCTTGGAAACTTTTAAGACAACCATGATCTTATATATGATCTTATATTTAGATGCCTGCCAAAGAAAGATCATTGGATTCATTATTCTAGATCTAGTTTGAGGAATTGCCATATTGATTGCATTGTTATAGGGGGTCATGTGGGGTTCCATGTTTTACTGTAATTTGTAGCATTTCCACTAAAGGGTGGTATATAAATCAAATAAATACCCCCATACTAGTACGAGCTGGCATATACAACACTCTATTTACATATCATTGATTTTACAATCAAGTGTTTGCCCTTACATCTTTCACTCAGGAGAGCATTCACACCCACTCCAAACCTACAATTGCTAGGCAGCACCTATTCCAGTGAATATATAAAATCTAATGCCTTAAATAATGCAACCTGGAAATATACAACTTCTCTTCTCCAGCAGTTAAAGAAAAGGAAAAAGACAGCAGAAAGAAAAAAAGAAAAGAAAAAAGAACAGAAGATCCCTCTCTTTCCATTGTTAAATACTGACCTT